AAATAAATAAATTCTAGCTGGAGACGAGTTCTCCACCCACCCACCCTCAACTGGCCACCATGTGGGAGTAGCCAGTTGCCGGTTCTGGCTGAGCAGGAACCAAAATAAATATATTGCACTAAGCACTGTTAGTGGCACATATAAGAGAACTGCATATAAAAGAACAGCTGAAGCAGACTATGCCACATTTTTATGATAATTCCTTGGAACTAAGAAGCAGACTAAAAGCACAAGAAGCTGATAGCATAAACATCCTTGAATTGCCTGAGCAGCAAAATCCAGCAGTAGTAGAAAAGAGATAAGTTACTAAAGGTTTGTTTATAAAAAAAAAAACTTTATGTATTATTTACAGTCTCCATTGGGGTATAGGTCCAGCCAAAGTTATACATAACTAGATTTCATTGAAAGTGATTGAAGCACATATAAACCTCTCCCTTTGAAATAAATGGGTCCTAAAAGTCCTTAACTTAGGGTTTATTGTAATTATATTTCCCAGCTTACTGGGCTGACAACTCTTGTGCCAGGATTCAGGGTCCCACATGGGGCATGCATCTTTAGAGTTTGAGACTTTCAAAAGCTATTTGTTCCAGAAGGCAGTCATTGGGCACAGGCTCACCACCTTCAGTCTAAACAGTTTATGCCCCCTTCATATTTATACCCTAGAGCAGGGGTCCCCAATGTGGTCCCCATTGGTGCCTGCCAAGTGTTTCTAGAAAGCAGGCAGGGTGAGGTGGGGCTTTTTTTGCCCAGCAGGGGTTCTTTTGGCTACTGGAAATCAGTTCTGCAGATTAAAAGGTATTCTGTTAAGCAGAGGTTAAAGAGTTATGGTTAGAGTTATGCATAACCTTGCTCCCCGACATTTTGTGGCTGGCTCTGCCTTGGTGGCAGCCATTTTGTGGTGGCATCCACCACCCTGTGTCAGAATTCCAAAGGTGCCTGCAGGCTCAGAAAGACTGGGGACCCCAACCTAGATCGCAGAAGTGCTTTCAGTATTCTATTTTCTCTTGGTGCTTGGTGGATTCATGTATAATTATTTTATTTATTCATTTCATTAGATTTTTACCCCGCCCTCCCAGCAAAGCCAGCTCAGGTTAGGCAAATGGGTGAGACTGTTAAAATTTACACGAATTTTCTCCACAGAAGCTGCACCAAGTAAGAATGAATGTGCCAATTCCATAAGAATGTTTCAAGTGATCATCCACAACTACATGATCATACGATTTGTATGCATGCCTCTGTAGTGTGGGATCACATTAGCTGAAGCTAATCTCATGCATGTATAGTGAGCCTTAGCTGTGTAGTTTCCTAGGTTATGGCCCAAATTGAGGGGGGGGGAGCATAGCAGGCAACCTCCCATCCTCAGCTCCCAGGCTCCAGCTTCTGTTCAATGGAGCAATGGGAGAAAAAATAGGGGGCAGAAGAATGTCATGTAACACTTCAGGAATTCCCCAAATCTTGATGGTTTTTAACATAGGATTTGGTAAATTCCTAGAGCATCATGAAAAGTCATGATGTCACTTCTGGGTACATACATGGAAGTGACATCATGTCATTTCATGACACTTATCTCTGCATCCCCCCCCCATGCTCTCATGAGTTGCCAGCATTTGGCTGCCAAATGTCCAAATGTTAAACATTTTGTGATATTTTGTGTGAGCTTATTACATTGTGTAGTAGGCTTCCCAGGTCCCCCCGGGGGGGCGGGGAAACCCCCACCCCAGAGGCCCGTTCCCTGGTGCCGCCCGATTGGGCCCCGGGGGGAACTCCTCCCCGAAATGCACGTCACCTGGAAGTGACGCGACCACGGCAGGCACGCTGGGGGCGGGGCCATGGCCATCCGAGGAAAAACTCTATGGTTTCCCCTTGTATAGCCGTGGCCCCGCCCCCAGTGTGCCTGGCGTCGTCACGTCACTTCCGGGTGACGTGTATGCAGCGTGCACGCACTTCGCTCTCTCGCAAGCACCAGACACTGGCCGGGAGCCCCCCACTCCCAGCGAAGATTGACTTGGCAACCCTACTATGTAGCAATTTGCTATGTCCACATTTAGAAAAGTCAACATACAACTACATGAAATCATAGCTCATTTCCTAACAGCAGTCTACAAACACTGTGTTTGACATATGCAGGTGTTCTTTAGTTGTTTAATATCTGTAGTGTATGAAATAACATGTTCCAGGATACACAGAATGCCATTATGTGTGCCATACACAGACAGTGAGTTCAGACACTGGGTTAATCAAATTATCTGATCACCCAAATGTGTAAGGTTTTTTTATCATCTGTCAACCCACAATTTTGGGTATCAGAGAATATGGCTTCATATGGCATCCAGTACTTATGTAGCAAAGTGCTTCAAGAATAGACAGGGCTATGGCTGCCATATGAACTAGCACATATAGTTATTGCTTAAATCTTTCAGAGGGGCTACCCTTTTCTTAGAATACAGTGAAAGGGACTGTCCTAAGACGTTGAGTCTTACCAGTGTGACAACATAGTGCTATTTGATGCAGATTCTATTCCTTGACTTTGTTCTTCATTAAACTTACTCCACAGTTCTTTCACTTACTTCATGGAATACTATGGAACAGCTAGTTGGAGGACAGAGGCCTTAACTAGCAACAAGGTTGTATAATTATGCTGATTTATTCCTAAATAATGACATTTTGAATGAATAAATAGAATAGGAGTAGAATTGTTGATTGAAAAATAATTTTAGAGTGTAAACCAAGATATTAGGCAGGGATGCATCTTCCCATTTGCAAAGCAAAGTGGTGAAAATGCACACATCTTTCTGCACTTTGTGGTACAATGGGAGCTACACTGACTACCTTAGATCCAAATCCACAGGCATCTCTGAATACAGTCTGCAGTGCAATATCTCCATGGCTGGATAAGGATGATTAAGTGTAGATTTGTTCAGCTCTATTTTTTAAAAAGGCAAAAAAGGCAAAAAGGCAACCTTATCAAAGTTCAGGAGTGACATTTTAAACCTTCTTTAGTAGGTTAACTCTGACCAATTGGATATATCAAGAAAAAAAGAAAGCAGGAACTATTGAACAGCTTATATTGCTCTGAAATCCTTCAACCAATTAGCTTTAAAAAAGTAGGGTTGGCAGGTAGCAATATTGTATGATGCCACTTTCATTTGTATCCAAAAGTTACATCATGATGCTCTAGAAATTCTCAGATTTCTATGGTAAAAACCACAGAGATTTGGGGAACTCCTAGAGCATTATGATATCACTTCCAGGTATAGCTAGAAGTGACATTGCTCCCCTTCCCCCATTTTTGTCCATGCTTGAGCAAAGAGTGGAGGTAGGGGCCAGAAGCTGGAGCCAGGAGATTGTCTGCCACAACAGGCAATCTGGCAAGGCTATACAAAAGGGAAGGGTGGAGGAAGGGGTGGAGGAGACACAGTGCTCCCTCTAAGCCATGGAGTCTTGTGAGCAAAAATTCTACTTTGTGAGCTACTGGCATTAAAGTTGTGAGTGAGCAATTTGGCTGCTGCATAAATTATTTTGCTCTGGAGCCATCCTTCCTGCGCCAAGACAAAAGATGTGTGAGCCAGAGGCTAAAAAACTGTGAGCTAGCTCACACTAACTCAGTTTAGAGGGAACACTGGTGCAGAGTGCTAGGCTATCCCATTGATCTGAGAAAGAGGAATGCCAGCAAGTTCCATTGTTAAAGCCACCACTCCATGAAGACAACGGCCTTGCTGGATAGCAAAGGGGATGGGGAGGAAGTAAAGTATTTTTTAGGAGACCAGATTTAATCCAGGATTTTCTTCTATTCATTTATCAAAATTCTAAAGTGTTTCCTTAGCTTCTATTATGAAACAAGTTAATTGGGTGGATCCCATGAGCTGTCAGAGAAAAATGTTGATGGTTGGTGATCTTCACAGAAACCTCCTCCACCCAGCAACCATTTTTATTCAAGGGAAATGTAATCCCAGGCTTGTGGGACCCATAGGGAATAACAGCCACATGGGCCAGGAGGCTGCAGTCAAAACTGTTCCCTCCTGCCTCTGGTGTATGGAGTTCTGCTGACAGACGAGGAAGAAGGGAGCAGTTTTGCCCCCTTCCTCCTCACTGTTGCAGCCTTCCATTCTAACCTTGCAGGTCCTGCAACCATTTCCCAAGGTTGGAAACTGACTGCTAGGGGGAAGGGGCAGCTGGGAAGATTGGCAATCCTTCTGTGGTCCTCATTAGATTATGGTTGCCAAACCCCCCCCCCGGTTTGGCAGGGGTCCCCCGCTTTTTGGGGGCATCTTCCCGCCACTGGCCAGCTGGCTGCCGGGGGAAGTCCTGCCCCCAATCCCCAACACCCACTGCCACCCCCTCCTTTCTCTCTCAAGAGAGAAGAGGGAGAGGGGTGGCTGCAGGCCACGTGCCTGATCTCCGCTCAGAGATTGAGCGCATGGAAACGCCGGCTCCCTGCACTTAAAGGGGCCCCTTTAACTGCAAGGAGACGGGGTTTCCGCATGCCCTATCTCTGCAGAGGTTGGGCACGCTGGAAGAGTGGGGGGACGTCCCCAACGTGACGTCATCACGGCAGGGATGCCCCTCCCCCTCCGGGAACGCCCCTCCAAAGTCCCCCGCTGGGGGAGAAGATGGCACTTGGCAACCCTACACTGGATCCAACCTTATATTTAGTAGCATATGTGAAATGTAATATCCTTCTAAACTAGGAAGTGTGACTTTGTGTAACTTTACTTGTATATTTACATTATTTTTCATATTAAAGAAAATATACTTTTATATTAAAGAACCTCAGATTAATTTACTATTCACAATTGACAACGCCTGTTTTTATACAATCTCTAATTCACGGCTACTTTATTTATGGACTTTAACTGGTGATTAAAAAAAAAAGAAGAAATGTTTTTTTAAAAAGTATCAGCTTAGAAAACTGACAAATATGCAGCAAAAGATTATGGAGACATGCAGTGGATTTGCTAAAATTAAACACAGTAAGTAGAAAAATGTAACTAATGTATTACCAGTTTGTGCCATAAATTTAGCAGCATCAGCTTGTTCCTGAGGGACCCTTTTCTCATGAACAGATCGAGGTCGCTGACTTTTAATTGTATGATCTCCCATCATTCCAAATTCTAAAGACAGAATAAAGGTTTATGAAAGCTTGTGTGCAGACATTTCTCAAAGATTACATACTATTTCATGCAAGATTTTTGTCAAAAAAAACATCTGGAAATGGTACTGTTAAACTTTCAGACCAAGGGAACACAGCAGTTCACATCAACTTGTTTTGCTAGACTAGTTCTATAAAATCAGACTTAAATCTATGTGGAGAGATTTAAACTGGAAGCTTTTTTGAATATTTAAAAATAATCAACATTTCAGTGATGTGTATACTTAAAATCAGCTGTGGACAAAATCAGTTACTTATGCTGGAGACATGGTACTCTGAATATTTTAAAACCAGTGCAAACCACACCAGAAAACGATCACCATAGAGCTAAGTGTTGTTCTGTGACAGAACCTACTGCTTCCTGAGGAAATCAATACTTTTCCTTCTCATCATTCAGACCGATGGACTGGCAAGCAGGCTTTCATGAGAACAGTGCCAATGTCACATAAAATACTTAGATAAGCTGGATGCAGCAGCAGCTGTGCCTGTTACTTTCATGACTTCAGAAAACTCAGTTACACAGAGCACTGAAGGCTCAGGGCTTTTTCTTGCTGTTGATTCTAAAGCAGAACTGTTTTTAAGATTTTAATAGGCAACATCTATATTAAAATCTCCCATGTGAGAATCAAGAGATGCTATTTTAAATACGACACAGCACTACTGATCGTTTTCTCTACTGCCTTTGACCAGCCACTTAATCTCTAACAGCTTGAGCCTAAGATTTGCCATGCTACTATATAAATGCTTAAAATTGGGGGGGGGGGGGGCTATAGCAATGCAGCAGCATTGCCCATGATGTTACTTTAATAATGGAGGGAGGTATGCCATCAAAGTTAGCTTCAGAGTGCAGGTCAAAGGTTCTAGTGATTCCCGCCAGAAGTGGCATGCATTTTGGATCAGAACTAAGATTTCTGCAGATGCAAAGAACTCTGCTTACAGGGCATGACTTTCTTGCTTCTCCCTTCCTGTGACAGCCCAAAATATCTGCTGAAATTTGGGACGGGGCAATTCTGGCTGTTACTGGAGTGAGTTGCAAAATCACACTTCTGCAGGTTGAAGTCCTTGCACTTGTGGAAAGTTATTCTGGATCCAAGCCTGCATATAGAACAGGTTCACACTTTTTGTAGAGAATGCCTCAGGAGCATGCAGGGATAACTCAGTTGTCCAGATAATTATGGTCATATGAATGCAACATTCCAGTGTCAAACCTTTGCCTCCTTCTCAAGCCCCTTTTTATGAGCCTACTCACATTTTTGGCAACTTCCATATGTGCCTCAGGTGTATGATGGCTATTACTAGTTATTTAGTCATGCAGGCTCCATTCACAAGGAGTGTATATGCATGGTGAGAACTAGTGCCTCCACAGGGAAGATATATAGAAGGTCACTGCCATTTGTATAATTGCAAAATCCTTTCTGTGAGTATTCACATTACAGTTGTTATCATACAGTATACACACTGAAGAGCAATTTCACACAAACAGTGCTCTCATTCCATAACAAGAGCATAGCCAGTAACATTCCCTTTCATTCCTAATAACTGTCAGGATAAAGGTCCTGTCAATAGTATGTCTTTCTATATGTTAATCTAATGGCCTGGTTCTAGATTTAATTAATTAATTGATTGATTAATTTTACTTCATTTATACATTGCCTTACTACCCAATGTGAACCTAAAATGGTTTAAATTGCTCTCCTCTCATTTGTTTTATAACAACATGTGAGGTAGGTTAGGATGAAAGAGCGCGACTGGTCCAATGTCACCCAGCAAGCTTCCATGACATAATGTAAATTTGAACCTGGTTCTCCCACAACATATAGGCTCTCAGTTAAGGATTCAGCCACTAATTTTGCATCCTAAATAAATTTTATTTTTCTAAAACAATTTAATTAATAAAATATGTGTAAATTGGGATATATTCTACATGAATTCCAGAGATATTTAAAAAACAAAATTATTTGAAGTTTCCCTGAACAAACCTAGTTTGTTTCTTTCTTTCTTTCTTTCTTTCTTTCTTTCTTTCTTTCTTTCTTTCTTTCTTCCTTCCTTCCTTCCTTCCTTCCTTCCTTCCTTCCTTCCTTCCTTCCTTCCTTCCTTCTCTGAGTATGTACAGCAGCTATACAGAACTACTGCCCTACCAGGCAAATGCAGCCCCCCAACCATACTGGACTGCTGCTGTAGAAACAGTTGTTTGATCTAGTGGTAGGTTGCTGGGTGGCAGGAATGGCTTCAAATTTTAACACCATCTTCTTGACATTTGGCACTGGTATCTCAGGATGCCTGACCATTTTCAAAATGGAAAACTTCAACAGTGAATTTGCTTTGCTATAGGAAGGGGTTCCAGAGGCATTGAGGGAAAGTGTGTGTGTTTTTAGACCACAACCACTGAAGAAAGTAAATTTACAAAGAATGTTTAGGTTTTAGATTATGTAACCTGATATAACATCTGAGTGAACGATGAAAGAAACTACAGTGGGGGTTTATTTATTTTTATTTCTCTCAAAAATATATATAACCCAAGACAAAAACTAACTCAAACTCACTCACATTAGCATCAAAGGACTACAGATATTTTCCTGTTATAGAACAATAGCCAGGACTGGCAATCTTTTGCTACCTACCCATGTAATACTATTGAAACAGACTGTTAACACACACAAATCATTTGCAACAAGACATGCAATATACTGATGTATTTGAGAACTGATCTGAAATGCTGATTCTTCCTCCTGCTGTGTTTATTTGACCTTGATTTCCACTAATGTGAGGATGCTTATAATTAAGCTCATGGGAATGAGAACATACATGTAGTACCTATACTGTAACATATGTGTCTATGAGAGAGAAGGTACATAACCCCATTAAGTTCCTCCTTGGCTTATGCATCTGAAATGGTTTTCCAAAATGTAGAACAGTATCAGTGAACCCTAGCTTCTTGACCAAAACTCACAGTTTAAGAACATAGCCCTGCAGTCTCACTCTTCAGTTATCAGAGTCTGTGGGAAGAGTGCAACCATCCATCTGCTGATACAATATCACAATTGGGCTGGCCCACTAATTGTTCTCTGTGCACCATCCTACAAACTCAGTTGACTATAATGGTTCTTAGAAAGCCAGGCAAAGCTGAACAGAACTCAGCTTAAAGTGAGTGGCTGTAAAAGATTGCACACATATCTCTGTCAAAAGAGATATCCAGCTAAATCAATGGAGCCTAGAACTGTACTGCAATTCCAGTTAAAGTCCTTGAAGAGTTATGCCTAGAAAAAGCCAGAGGGCTCTGCTTCACTACCAGGGACATGGCAAAGCTGTAACAGTCCATCATAAGGAACTGCTTTCATTGCAAAAGGTAACTTGACACTGTAGGCTTGGGTTACCTAGCTGTAGTTCTAAACATGCTTGTTTGGAAGTATGTTATACAATCTAACACACACACACACCCATCTAGCAGAGGAAATGTGCATGTAGAATCAATCTTTAGTGTGCACAACTTATACAGGTCCAGATAAGCAACCGGATGTACATCCACATATATCTCCATGCAATAAATACTGAGGTTCCACTGAACTGGCCAGATGTATCTTTACAAAGAGATGTGGCACCTTCCCAGTGCTACTCACCGTTATGCAGAATAGCTAGATTCAAATCCAGTAGCATCTCATAGACCAATAAGATTTGTGGAATATCATCTTTCAAGAGTCAAAGTTCCCTTTGTTAGATACAACTAGGAATGGAGATCCCTGAGCCTTTATATCCATCTTGACTTTAAAATTCGGAAGTGAGTAGGGGAGCACCGAAAATGTTTTTATGAATTCTGTTTAACTATTTCATTGTTTATTTTGTATTGTTAGTATTTTATACTGTTTTATTGTTATTATCTGGTGTTATGTTTCTGTTAGCCGCCCTAAGCCTTTGGGGAGGGCGGGATATAAATCCAAATAAATAAATAAATATCCTGGTCAGAAGGTGGGAGGGATGTTGCGATGATCCTCTGGGGCTGAATAGGGACACTGAGTTCTTAGCTCACTACTAATACTAATTTCTGTCCCTAAGAATTTATCCCCTTCTCCAATTAAGCAGATTACATTTTGTATTGTATCTTTGCAACCTGACTTCCTTCTATGCAACACCCCTTCAAATTTCTGACTGGGATAGAAGGGCCAGAGATCTCGATTCCCACTTGCATCTCACAAGTTTTGACTTTCGAAAGAATTAATTAATTCAATTTGTATCCCACTCTCCCCACCGAGGCATTAAAAGTTAAAGAATATTAAAACACAATGCAACATCATAAGATTCATAACATAACAATCAGAAATACACATAAAGTGCTGATGGAAGTAACATCCCAATAGGCTTTGTTCAGATGGTAACAAAGGTGTGGCCAAAATCGGTGTCCAGAGTAACACTAGCTGTTAATGTTGTTGTTGACATAATGGGCCTAACAATTCAGTTGTTGTTAGTGGCGGCTCCTAATCGAATGCCTGGTGGAAGAGCTCCGTTTTACAGGCCCTGTGAAACTGTTAAAGGTCCTGCAGGGCCCTGATGTCTTCTGGGAGCTCATTCCACCAGTGTGGAGCCACCACTGAGAAGGCCCTGGCCATGGTAGAGGCCAACCTGGCATCTTTCAGTCCAGGGAGGGTCAAGCGGTTTTGAGACCCCAACCTCAGTGCTCTCTGAGGAACATGTGGGGAAAGGTGGTCCCTCAGATAGGCAGGCCCCAGACCTTATAGGGCTTTAAAGGTTAAAACCAGCACCCAGAAGCGAATCCAGTATGCTATTAGCAGCCAGTGCAATGCCTTCAGTACAGGCTGGATGTGCTTTTGCATAGGGAGACCCAGCAGCAGCCTGGCTGCCGCATTTTACACCAGCTGCAGCTTCAGGAGTTGTGCCAAGGACAGCCCCATGTAGAGAGCATAGCAGTAGTCCAGCATCAAGGGGACAATTGTGTGGATCACTGTTGCC